CCCTCGGCCCTTCCCCAGGTGCCACCAGCCCCATCTCACACCACCAATGCCACCAGTCCCTTTACCAGCTCCTCCTGGTCCCTTGGCATCATCAGCTCGCCACCCTGATTCACACAGTCCTCCCGGCTGGAATCCCAATGTCTGGGGTCATGAGATACCCAATAGCACTTGGTCCCGTGCAGCGTCCAGTTCCTGGGGCAGAGGGTGCACCCCTCGTCCTCTGAAAGACAGGTCAGGACCACAGTCAGCCACCAAGAAGCCACTTTGTCCCCTGCACATCCCAAGAAGGACAAGTGGTTTAGCCCCGTTTGCTCCCCAGGAACACGGGAACGTTCTGAGCTTTGCCTGGTTCTCTACTGGGGAACGGAATATTGGGGAATTTGGGCTGTAAGTTTTTGGGAAACCTGATGGTGCCAAGATGCACTGTGGCAGGGGGGCATCACCTTGTGGCTTTGATGAGCAGAAAACTTCCCTCAGCTCTGAGTAGACTTTCTTCAGGGTGGCGTCACCATCTCTGATGTTCCTGCTCACGTTCCCAATCATGTACCTGCAGCTTCCGGGGTTCTCTGACCGCTGGTGGAGAACTGAAAGGGTAGAGAAGGGGAGAGGGATGGGCTTCCCCAAAATCTACCTTCCTGTGGCCCAGCAGCTGCTGGGAAGTGTCTGGGATGGATCCTGACACCGAGTGGGTGCTCAGAGCCCTCACCTCATCCTTCCTGGTATCTCAGCCCACCCCAAGCTTTGATCCAAGCATCTCCTGGGGAGTGAGAACTGGCCTTGGGGTCCCGCCCCAGAGCAGACTCCAGATCTCAGGGTGCCAGCCTCAGACAAGCTCCTTTTGGGGTAGGGGGTCAACACCTCTGAGCTCCCACCCCCGCATTTGCAACCACCTCCCCCCCACCTCTTCTTTCCACTACCAGCAGGATGTGTTACCTCCACCCCCTGCCTGAGATCACACTTGAGATATGGAGGCATCAAACTGGACGGTGGCAGAAAGCCCCGTAGCTACGGAAGTGGTCTCTGCTGCAAAACAAGCTGTACCGGCCTCATAAGTACGGCCTAGAGGGTGCATACGTGATGCGAAGGTGAAGGGCTCCTCAACCACCTGCTGACTACCCCTTGCTGCCTACAGGCACTTGCAGCGCTTGAGCAGCCCCCAGCAGATTGATTTTGGGGTCTCTCTGAACTGGGCCCACACCAAGTTCAAACTATCATCCCCAGATCACTGCTGGTTCCAGATCTCCTCCCATTTGGAGGATCTTCCCACCTTTGGAGGATCTCCTTCCAAGATCCATCAGACATTTGAATCTCCCTCCTATCTGCTCGGTGTGGTTTGGGGGTTCTGAGGGCCAGTGCAGCGTCAGATGCCACCAGCAACCTCACACCGGGCACAAGACTCATCTTGGCAGGGTACTGTGTCACCCTGAGCTCGGCCACGCATTGACAAATCCTGCCCCTGCCACAGTTGAGAAGTTCCCAGTAGTTTCCCCTCACTGACTGACAAGAGTTGAGGCTCCTGCACCCATCAGCTCTAAGAAACTCTGATGAAAACCCACTTCCCCACACCTTGCACTGATGTGCGTCAGTCAACGCTGATCAGAAAAGCAGATTTGCCTCCTACACAAGCTCCTGGGGCCTTGCAAAGAGCCCTCCCTGCTCTTTGCACAGTCCCCTCTTTGAGCTGTCCTTTGGTTGTCCCCGTATCACCAAGCAAAGCCACTCACATGAACATCCCATGGCCACCACGGCCACCCCGAGGAGGAGGTTCCCGGTCCAGCCAGCCCAGAGCGCGGTTCGGTGCCACTGGGGACAACCCGAGGCTGCAAGAGAAAGAGTTGTCAGGAGAAAAACACTGCCCCGATCCCACACCCAGAGAGCCTGCTGAGCAGATTTGGGCTGTTTTCTCCCCAAAAACCTTCTGTGGTGGTGCTGGTTGCTCAAAAGCTGCAGTCAATCGTCCGTGTTTCACCGCTGCCACCCTCCTCCTGATACTGCTGTCACCAGGGCAAAGTGGCTCGTGATGAGGTTGAGATGGTTTTACCCAGACACCCAAAACTCTGAGAATAGGGGAATTTTCTAGATGTTAGAAACCCAGATTGTTAAGTCAAGGTTAGAGCTGGGCCAAGATGGGAGATGTGTCCCATCACGGCATCCTTTCCCCACAGCAGGGGAAAACCACTGACCCTGGATGGCCCAAGCTCTCCAAGGACACATCATCTGATCAGGTGAGAGACCCCCAGCTTCCCCCAGCTCCATCCTGCTTCAGGAAGTGTGGGGGCAGAATCAAAAGGGATGTTTTTGGTGGAAATCACAAATTCTTGCAAAAAAGAGGGTGCAGTGTGTTGACTGAAGAGGTCCTCACCAGGCAAAGGTGGAAGGAGGCAAACCTCCTCCTTGCAGAGGAGGAAAAAGCTGAGAGAGAGCAGGAAAAGAGCATGAAGCAGCAGAGTGAGGCAGAGGAGGGAGGAAACAAAGAGTGAAACACCCCTGCATGTGCAGGGAAGATTGACCAGGAGTATTGAGAGGTGGATCAGGCATCTAAGGATGGCAGCTGCCCTGGGAGCAGGTGATTTTGGGAAGGTTTGGAGCCTTTGCTGGCTGGGAGGGGGAGGATTTCTTTTTCCATCGCCAGGACCAGAACAGTCCCTTGGGATGGGTTTAAGAATCAGCCCCTGAAAATGCACTGGGTGCGATGGCCAAGTTCTGCCCCACGAGCTCCAGGGGTTCGGTTTGCAGAGTTCAAGCTGGGGGCGTGAAGGTTTAAAAAATAATCGTGTGGAGCTGAGGTGGGCTCCTGGCAGGGGCTGGGGGCAAAGCAACCACACCAGGAAGGGTGAGGGAGGTGTAAAGGGGGGCAATATCATCCCCAAGGGCAGCTGCAGGCAGGACAGAAGGGTTTAACCCCACAGCAGTGACATTAACACAAACCCCCACTGGTTTCCACGAAAGGAATCCCATTTCATTGAGCCCTGGTTGGACTCCGGGCATGAGCGAAATGGTGACACTGTTCCAGAGAAACTCTGCAGCCCTTTCAAGACAAACCTCCCGACGGGATCCCAAACAGCAGCCAGCATCCCTTATCACACCCCCACAGCCGTAGGCCCCTTCCCCTCCTGCAGCTCCCAGAGGGTGGGAGTCTCCCAGTGCAACCACAAACCAAAACCCACAAAAAAGCCCCCCCCAAAAAAAACCTCCACGCTGCACTCACTGCCAGGCTGAGGGAGCGAACTCGGGTTCCTGCGGCGTTTCCCGGGCTCCGGAGCCAGGTCAGCATAAACAATTTCCCTGTCCATCGCAGGAGAGGCAAGAGGAGCTCCCAGCGGGGCCTCTGGATCCAATGGGGACAATCCTGCAGGTGGCAAATCCCTTTTATTTGAAGGTTTCTCACTCCTCCAGCTCTGCTCTGCAAGCTCCTCTCCAAGCCAGAGGTCGGCGAGGGGACGCACCAGCCTCTGAACGCTCGGCAAGCACCAAAGAAAAAGGGTGTTCGATGCATTGGCCAGTCTGAAAATGAAACTTTACACAGCTTCTGCTGAATTAAGCCTGGGAAAACGAGTTCACGTCAAGGGAAGTATCATCTGACAGCATTAAGAAGCCTTTTCTCTTCATATTCTAAGTGAAATCTCCCAAAGAATACACCTTTAATGATAAAAAAAGCCCAAAGAAACCCCAAACGAGGGGTTCTGCAAATAAGCAGCTCCAGACCTTGTTCCCCTCCATCGAAATCAGTTATTTTGAATGAAAAATAAGGTGTCATTGCAAAAAATGATGCAAAGACTCCACCATCTCCCCGGATGTTCCCAGTAAGATGCTAAGAACTGGAATTTTTCTGAAATAAAATAAAACCAGAACCCACCACCCTCATCCCCTCCCTTTCGCTACGTGAAAGGTGTTTTCCAGCCTCAGTCACTGCTCCTTCTCCCCACCCAAACCTATTCCAGCATCCCTGCCTTCTTCCCATTACCTATTTCTCTGAAATCTCACTGATTTTTGAGTCCAGTTCCAAGCACAGCACCATTTTGCTGCTCTGTAGAGCAAGCAGGTGCCAAAAAACCCAGGAGACTCTTTGGAAACAAGGGGTTGGGATGGAAAATACTGCAGACAGCTCAAGAAATCTCTTTGGTTCTCCTTCATGCCTTGTGTTCAAGTCACTTCCAAGAGACAGTCGGCTTCTGCCTTTGGAAACCGGGGTGGGACCAGACTCATTAGAGGCCAAGAAAAGTAGAAATGCAAATACAACCCCCAAATTAGATGAAATCTAGCTATAAAGGTGTGAGATGACATCCCTCCCGACTTGTTTGGAAGACTTGCTCGTCTTTTTCCATGCCCAGGCTGAGGAACCCCTCACAAGGATCATCCAACCCCAGGGAGGCAGAAGCCACAGTCAGAACAGGAGTCAGATGCTTCTGGACCTATTCCAGCCTCCAAAAATTAGGTGCTTCCCCCCATGTAGAAGAAAGCGGTTTCTCTGGAGAGCAAAACCACTCCAGTCTTGCAATGTGAGTACACGGAGGGGACCTGCAACTCTGGTTGCTCCAGAAGGACCAGTTCAACCCACTGTCTGCAGTCCAGGCTGAACTGGAGTGGGTGGAGGCAGAAAAAGAGTCGTGTGGGGAAAACATGAGTTGAACCACCAGGCCTGACCCATGCACACCAGCCATCACCCTGCTCAAAGCACCTCAGGGCAGACACTATTTCCATAACCCCCCCCATCTGACACCCCCATCTCCCTTCTCCCCCCATCGGGATGGACATAAACAGTGCTCAAAGCCATTTTTCCTTTCTTTAAATAACTTTGATTCCCCAACTGGGTACATTTCACCTTGTGCCCAGTGAGAAAGGGGGTGGCACCCGCCCAGAGACAGGTAGGGCTGGTGGGGCCACCAACCTGGGTGCCCTTGGCTCCAGGAAAAAGTCCCCTCACCAAGGTGGGGGGTGCTCCTGCATCACCCACCCTGCAGTCACCACAGCCTGCGCTCCCCCAGGGGCCCAGCTTGCTTCCAGCTGGGCCGGCATCCTCAGAGGGGGCAAAACCAGAGAGGAAGCAGTCGTGTGACCGCTAAGGTAAACAAGAGGGGGAAAAAATGAATTAGGAAGAAATTAGGATGAAGGGGGAGAGGAGCGGAGCGGAGCGGAGCGGAGCGGAGAGGAGAGGAGAGGAGAGGAGAGCTCTGCCCATGGCAGAAGCCTCCAAAAGAGGGTTTCCCCAGCTCAGGAAGAACAAGCCACAGTGAAACAAGGCAGGATGACCCCAACAGCACTCCTCTCCCATCCCCATTGCCCTCCCAAACCCTAACAGGGACGCGGGAGGATGGACAGACTGGGAGAACTGGAAAGGGGTCCTCCAGCACCAGCAGGGGACATGGCCAGGTTGGGTCACCCACCGCCCTGCCTGGGTCGGTCCCCAATGCCCACAGCTGCTTTCGGCTGTTCTGGGGCTCCTGCAGTAGCACTTTCTTGAGGGGTCAGGATTTGGGGGGCCTCCAAGAGCCCCTGTGGGCAGGGGGAAGGGCTCCAGCCACCCCCATCCTACTGCCAGCACCCCACGCTGCCAGGGCTGGAAGGAGAAGACCCCGGGGGGCAGCCACCCACTCCCAGCCATGTCCTCCAATGCTCCCAAAGCCAGGATGGAAAGTGGCCCCGGGGACGAGGAGGGGAGGGGACAGGGTTGCTTCCAGCAGCAGAGAAACACCCATGGGAATTCAGGATGGTTTATTAAAGAGAGTACAAAACCCAGCAATAGTATCTCCATTTACATTTTAACTCTCATGGGAGCCCCAAAAAGGGCCACTTCACCCCCTGGCTCTGTGGCCCCCCTGCCCTGCACAGGGACAGGGAACAGCACGGAGCTTCCTTGCCCAGCTTCTCTGGGAGCAGCCACTCCAACTCCATCACCACAGCTGAAAAGAAGGTCTGTGTGTTTTGGGAGATCCTAGAAAATTCAAAAGGCCAATTGTGTAATGCACACAGTCGGGTTTTGTCTCTGTCCCCAGGAGAACATCATCCACTCGCTATAACCAGGTTACTGCCACATTTCCTTTCTGCCAATTCTTTAGCCAGCTGATTGCCA